AAAGGTAAAGCATACGGGGTTTTCCAGAAATTAGCATTTTTAGTCCAAGAGATATTTGGAGGGGAAATAGACAGTGACCTCTAAGCACGTCCTCAAGAGCTGCATTATAAATTGGGTTCTAAGTTCACCCACTTTACTTAACAACTTTGTGGACCCAGTGTGCATATACTGAATTTGGACATGAGGTAAGAACTTTTTGAATAGCAACACTGTGCTGCTATAACTCATAAATAGATCAATGAAAGTAGACAAATGGGTTCACAAAGACAATTCTCACAATCTGAGGAATGAAACTACCACAGGAATTGTGTTGTTCTTTTACGTTCTAAACACCTAAGATAATCTTAGTTCCGGAAACACTAGTAAATATTAGTAACTAATGGACTTTGTTATAAATGTTAATACTTATTTGCTGCTGAAAGTATTACTTGTAGACCAGTGTCATGGAGTTAAACACTAGAATCTTGTTAGACTTCTTGTTTGAGTCCTGGCTCTGAGAGTATTGATTTGACCTTGACTAGTTACTTAACCTTTCTAAAACCTTATCAGAAACATCAAAAAATGGAGGTAAAAATACTAATAATTTCAGTAAGAAAAACAAATGAGGTAATTCCTATAAAGTGGTTGTAATGGTGCCTGGCAAGTAGTAAATGCTCAATAGAAGAATAACGACTACTAGTAAGTTTTTTTTTTTTAAGAGTTTTTTTAATTGGGGAATTGCGGGGAGGGGAACAGCGTTGGGGAATCGGGGAAGGGTAACAGGCAGGTAGACAAATTGCTGTTTTTGTTCTTCAGTCTAGTTTTGGAGGACATCGCTTCACTGGCCCATGTTGGTATGATCATTGTGCTTTTCCTGGGTGAAGCAATCGGTCGCCGGTCATTAGTCGGCCGCTCACAGCGGCTCCCGGCAGCTCACATCGGCTGCCAGCCACTCACGTAGCTCATGGCAGCCCACTGCAGCCCCACTGCAGCTTATGCAGACGCGGGCGACTCCCGGCAGCCCAGCTCCAGGTCTAGCTGTTCATCATCTTAGCTGTAGAGGGCAGTGTCAGTGGCCCTCAATGTGGGATCCAAACTGCAGCCCTGCTGCTCAGAGAGGCTCTCCCAAGCAAGCCCTTAACCAGCTGAGCCATTCGGCCTGCCCAGTAAGTATTCTTTTAATTGTGGGTTTAAGCCTGGAATTATTAAGTTTTTGTTACATGTTGAAGGACATGTAGAAAAGGAAGAACTACCTAACATGTATTTTTCCCTTAAATAGTTGGTTCATTTCCACACAGATTAAAGTCCAACAATATATGTAATACATGATTTCATTTAATCCTCACAGTAAGTCTGTTAGTAAGTGCTACTACTAGTCCTGATTTATCTTAAGGAAAGTGGCTCAGAGGCTTAACAGAGCAAAGACTTGGGTCGAGGCCACATGGTTGGAAAGTGATGGAGCTGGGAAAGTAGCCAGTTTGTTTGGTTCTACATTTAAAAAAAATAACATGTGGGCCGGCCGAGTGGCACGATGGTTGGGAACTGGCTTGGGAGGCCAGAGGCCCCNCCTCACTTGGGAAGAGTGCAATGATAATACCAACATGGGCCAGTGAAGCAACATCCTCCACAACTAGACTGAAGAACAAAAGGACAGCAACTTGTCCCCTTCCCCAATTCCCCAAAGCTGTTCCCTTCTCCCAATTCCCCAATAAAATCTTTAAAAAAAAAGAGCTCACTTTCTAACCAACTGAGCCACCAGGCCAGCTCATGTTTTTGGCTCTTTGTTGGAAAGTAATTGCCCGTATGTGTGTGGGTTTATTTCTGGGCTTTCAGTTCTGTTCCATTGGTCTGTGTGTCTGCTTTTCTGCCAGTTCCATGCTGTTTTGAGTATTGTCACTTCGTAGTATAGTTTGCGGCCAGGGAGTGTTGGGTCATAAATCTTAAAAGGACCTCAATATCTGCTCTGTAGAGGAATGTATACACTGAAGTCCCAGTGTAGTTGGATAGTCATATCTATAAAGTTAAATGCATTAAGTAAAAGCCAAAAACCTCCCCATTTCCTTACTTCTATTTCCTCATGGTAACTGCTATTAACATTTAGGATTATCCTACCAGCTTCTTTTTTGCTATACAAATGTTTTTGTGTTTTAAATGAAAAGGGATTATAACATGATATCTGTGGCTTGTTTATTTGGGTTGATATATTATGGATATCTTGCCATACATTCAGTACATTGATGCATAAAGTAATGGTTGCACAGTATTTCACAATATGAACATATGAAAAGTTTGTTCATACTTTCTCCACTATAAATGCTGTGTTGCATTACAATATACCTTTTTATTTTTGCCTTTTGGATGGGTGAGAAAGTTCCATTTGTTTGTCTTCTGGTAAAGTCAAATGCTTCTGATCCTCTGGATTTCCACTTAAGTGAATTGCATATTCC